AAATGATGGCGGCGACTCGGCTGCGCAGTGACGCAGACGCTGCTGCATGTTTAAACTCTCCGACCGGAGAAATTCCCGCCTGATGTTCTAGCCCTCGAGCTCTAACGGAAAATCCCCAAAGACCGGAACGATTTTCCTCCTGCTTTAGTTTAACCTGTCCTTGTCTCTGTGATCTGTCATATTTATTGTTCCCTCTGCTCCCTCGCCCTGCAGTCAGCCTCGCACCCCCGGGGAGTTGCTGGCTCTCTTCCGGTACCCGCGGGACCCCTACACCGTGGAGCAGGCGCGGGCCGGAGAGATCTTCGAGCAGACGCTGCTGCTCATCCAGAACCACGTCAACCAGGGTCTCATGGTGGACACCAACGGCACCGGTGAGGCAGATTCAGACTCGACACGCTGCCTCACACCCTCGTGAACACTGAGCGCGCTCGCTGATCGGTTTAAACTGATTGGTCATCTCTGCTGTGCTGATATTTTGGGCACATGTGCAGTTTGCAGAATGAAGCTGCTGTTCAGTAAACAGCTTCCACACAGTGTCCTGAGTGGAGTCTTGTGGTTTAAATTTAATTCTGTCTATGAATCTCTCGCTGCCGTAAACACTTTCATTAGTCCTCGCTTGGTCGCAGCGCCTCACCTACGTGGTTTGTGTTCACACTGGGTCAGTTATACCTGCGTGTGGGGGGAGCACGGGGGGATTCGGATGTTTATGTGCAAAAGCATGTGGGGGGGGTTGTTTTAGTTTGTGGCTCATGAAGCAGTCGTTGTTCTGGGGGGTTAATTTTAACAGCACGAAGGTCAAATGCTGGGTGTGAACAGAACGCACGCGAGCTCTGAGATATAAATATGAGACGCGATCGAAGCGTTCGCCGTCCGTGCTCGACGAGCCGCAGCTGATCTACATTTCACCATCAGAGTGACGGGAAGTCGAGTTTTTCTTAGTTTGAAATTAAATTTCTGGCTTTAATTCTCCTGAATCTGCAAGTTCTTCTAAAAAGTTTTGTTCATTTTATTGTCATATTGAAATGTGTCAGTGTTTCCCTCATAAATCTGCAGTTTTCTCTTTGCCAGATTATTTTTTATTATTTATGATTATTTATTTATGATTTTCACTTCCTGTTTTTGCTCTTACATTTTTTTCACTTTGGGATATTTTCATCCTTGAAATGATAACAAAGGCTGGGTGTAGTTGACGCCTCGTGTGGTGTAAATGTAGTGAGACCAATAGTGACAGTTTCAGGTTCACAGGGAAACAGCAGACGGCGAGTTTGACTGAACAAACGTCCGTGAATAGAATTCGAATAGAATTCAACTTTATTGTCATTGCACATGCACAGGTACA